CGGCGCGAAGTGGGTGTCGCTCGGGTTTTGGGATCTGGGTCGTCTGTAGCACCTCCGCCTCCTCTGTTCCGATGGATACCCGCAAGAGGGGGAGGCCCGAAGGCGGTCCGTACGCTAATGGGGGGCTCAAGAAGTCCAAGAAAGGTTCGTCTTCGCGCGTTGTTTGTTTCCCTTTGTCGTTTCGTGTGTCCTGGAGCTTGTGCTCGTACTTGTGCTTCTTCTTTTTTGCATCGGATTAGTGGTCGCTCTGTTTGTGCTGCATGAGCCCCTAGTTTCTGAGCTGTGCTTAGTCGTTTGATGCTGCGTCTCGCGGTCTTGGCAACTCCGTGGGGTTGTTGGAGCGTTGTTGATTTGATTTAGTTGTCGCCAATTTGCGTCTCTTCCGTTCTTTTGTTTTCGTCGTTCTTGCGTGTTCCCAGCGTCTCTGCTGTGCGAAAGCTGTTCGAGCAGTTTTGCCCTTTGTCCTGAGTCGGGAGCCGGGAAATTTGGGTAATTTGTGCTACTTTAAGAATTAGGAGTATGGTTAATTGTTTGCCAAGTTCTTGTTTTTTTCCAAAAAAAAAAGAAAAAAACATTGAAGATCGATTAATGGGCTGTTGCTGCAAAGATATTTTTCAGGACTGTACTTGTCCTTTACTCGTAAGGAGGTTCCTTAGTCTTCATTTTCAAGAGTGAATGGAGCAAAGATCCACCTGGGGATTATAGAATGAAAGTACTTGTTACCTTATTGAATTCCAAGCCTGTGTCATCTTGCCTCGGGTGAACTGTGCGATGACATATTGTTTACGAATTTAGGAATCCGGTTCCTCCTTGCTATTTCATGTTATAAATATATCTCATTTGGTGATGTTTTGAGTGCGCATTTGTTAATTGGAGCTTGGTGTTGGTTTGGCACCCAGTTCTTACTATGTACTTTCTGATGAGAGTGGTTAAAAGCGTGAATAAGAAATGCTCTAGTTATGGAGCAGTCGTGTTAGAGCCGCCGTTAGTTTAAAACAACGGAGTGGTCGGGAGTGCCTGGAGCATTCGTTGCAAGGAAAATGTTCGATTTTGCAATGTTGCTCATGAATTTTGAAATGACAAAAGAACTTGTTTCCAGAATCATGGCTTTTGCCAAAGGTCATGCAATTACCTGAAATGATGTTTTAGATAAGCAGATTTGAAATCAACAGAATCTTCAACTGAGAACACTTAATAATGTGTTGTAACAGAATCGGAGTCCTTATCTGGTGTAGGAAGCAAATCGAAGCCATGCACAAAGTTTTTCAGGTTTATATCCTTTCCTATCTAATTAAATAGCTTAAACTTTCATACTCTCTTAATAATGTTTACAAGTTCTTAGAAAATTTTAATTATAAGTGCCCGAGATATAATTACTTGATCTCACTAATGAAGTGGACATTTAAGCTGTCGTACAGGTACATATTATGGGTTGGTTAACCAACTTAAAGAAAGCTATATAATGGAGATACTGCATTACATTGCAGTACAGATAGATGAACTATGGATGCCTGTTATTGGATCAAGCAAGTTATTCGGAGTTTGATTGATTATATCACTCCCTTATTGGACTTCTATAATTAATCTCATGTTAATTAGTTTGTACTGGATGTTAAACAGCAATATACCGTCCTGTCAATTGGTAAGTTATTTCCACAAACAAGGTAACGTGGTAATGTTACAGACTTCCTTTGTAGCATTTCAAAAGTTTCATTTGAATAGAAATTGCGCTTCTATAATTATAATTCATGAAGATAAACTATCTATTACATTGACAATGTATTAAGTACTGAATTGTCTTAATTAGCTCAAGCTGTGCTATTGTGACTGAATTACCACCTGGCATACTAAAAATTCCACCTTTTGGTGGAAGATAATTTTCATTTGTTATCATATTTGTTTAATAGAAGTACATGTGTGACTAGAAAGTAGGTGCACCAAATGAGATCATGGCCAAGGTCTTTATGAATAGGTTGCAATTTTTAATTTTGGAGGAGATGGAGGAAGCTGCTGTTAGTGGAATGCAAGAACTTCTCTTCTTTCTACTGTCATTTTCCAATTGTTTGTTTCTCTTTCTTGTCAGCATTGCTCCCATGAGTTCTTGCATGTATGCCTGATTTCATTCCATTTCTGGGTGTCTTCGTGAATGAAAATGGATGCATCAGTTTGCATAGCTCATGTAGTAGTAACTCTTTTTTTAATCACAACTTGAAAGAATTAGTATCGCGATAGCGGAGGGATTTTCTCCTGCGGTATATGTTTCTGTCCATTATTGAAACTTATTCTGATATGAGACAATAAGATTCACAATGATGCAAGGTAATATGAAAATTGTGAATTGACAGTTGGTTCTTTAGTATTCGAAAACAATAATTGTTTCATATGTTCCACAGGCATGTGAATCTGCTGGTATACCATATGTTCTCGCCTGAAAATCTAGAATTTAACAAGAACTAGGTCTTGAAACATAAGGAAGATGAGAATGACAGTAGTTAAGCTGCTGCAGTTCCATATTTTATGTATCAGTTTCATATAGGACTTCATAGCACCGTTATCAATTCACGGATGAATTTCCATAGTAGTTTTCTAAAATATGTGACAAACTGTTTGTGAACATCATATTGCACCCAGGGCTTATTAATCACAGTTAGAAATTTTTCTTTAACCTATTACTACCAGGCTGAACGTCCGGTAGCCATATTGGTATATCTTATTATCAATATAACTGCTGTTACTGTGTAGTGCTTTGCTTTTCAACCACTATTATCAGAAGAAACCCAAAATTCATGTATTGGTGGTATCTTCTGGAATTTGCATTTGTTTTTTTTTTTTTGGTGAAAAATGCCCAAACAACTAATTATTACATAATCTGGCATGAATGTGCCCACGGTCTCCTAACATTAATGAGAGTTGCATCTTTATCTTGGGAGTTACAGACAATGATCTTCTAATTTGAAGGGCTTCTGTATTATCTTTTTTCCCTTTTGGTGGGTAGGCCTTGAAATTTATTCTATACCTTGTGAAAAGTTTTAAGCACGATCATCTTCAAATGTTGTTAGTTCTACTACGGTTTATATATATCATGAAATCAAGTCTATACATGGCAAATGAATGTTGGTACTGGCGTCTATGCACAAACAAAAAGTTGCTAGCTTTCTTTTGCATTTTTGTAGGCGTCTGTGTATTTTGTGAAAATCACGAACTCCATGCACTTTGATCCAGTGAAGTCATGTAATGTGATGAGCATGATATCATTGTTTCGTTGACGTTTTGTGGCATGCATCTTACTGTCTCTAAGTGGGGGATGCTGTTGATTGCAGCATTGCTGGTTGTCCCTTCGGTGAGGGCTGTCACTTCTTGCACTACGTGCCTGGTGGCTACAACGCTGTGGCCCAGATGATGAACCTGGCACCAGCTGTCCCCCCAGCGCCTCGAAATATGGTTGCTCCACCCCTGCAAAATGGTGGGGGTGCGTCTCAGCCCGCTGTCAAAACCCGCATGTGCAACAAGTATAACACTGCAGAAGGCTGCAAATTTGGCGACAAATGCCATTTTGCTCACGGTGAATGGGAGCTTGGCAAGCCCATTGCTCCATCTTTCGATGATCCGCGTGCCATGGGACCCATCACAGGCCACCGCATGGGTGGGCGGATGGAACCGCTGCCACCACCAACCGGCCCAGCTTCTACCTTTGGTGCGTCTGCCACTGCAAAAATCAGCGTTGATGCTTCTCTTGCTGGAGCTATTATTGGAAAGGGTGGGGTGAACTCAAAGCAGATTTGTCGCCAGACAGGGGCCAAGCTTTCCATCCGGGACCACGAGAGCAACCCGGCTCTCAGGAACATCGAATTTGAAGGAACATTTGAGCAGATTAAGCAAGCGAGCACCATGGTGAGGGAGCTGATCGACAACATCAGTGCACTAAGCGGCCATGCGAAGGGCCACGGAGGGCCTGGGGCCCCGGCCCCTCCTGGCAGCAACTACAAGACGAAGCTGTGCGATAATTTCGCTAAAGGGTCATGCACGTTCGGGGAGAGGTGCCACTTTGCGCATGGAGCCGCCGAGCTACGCAAGACTGCAGTTTGAAGGATCTGTGGTGGGGTCTTGAGAGTGCAATTGTCGGAGAGGATCTGTTGTGCAGCCTTTGTATTAGGGAGAGCCTTTGATATCTGAATTAGGTGCGTTACGGATTTCATGTTTTTTCAATCTTTGGGGCTACTGAATCACTTTGGGAAGCTATATTTGTCTCAGCTTTGGTAATGGTAGAGCTTTTTGATGCTTCCTCGATGTGTTGAGATTTTATTAGCTTTTAGCATGCGTTGCGTGGATTGCTGTCCGACGGTGAATTCTAACTTCAGCTCTAATAATGATCATCTGAATTCGCAGATACCTTCATGGCTCTTTGAGTGAAGTGTTTCGACTGTTAATGGGGTGTCTTCAAGGCACTTGTTAAATATATTTGAAGAGGAACACTGATTCTGATCGAATTTCTGTATTTTTAATGTTTTAATCAAGTTGTTTTACTTGCGCAAATTATCTAAATAAATCCCTAGAGCAACAAATTCGACCAAATCAAACAGACGGGAACACCCAACGATTCAACCAAATCAAAAGTACGCAAAATGTCGTCCATGTCACTCTCAACGTTGCCAGTGTAGCAACGAATAGAATATAAAAATTTGATTAGACCAAAACATGAAAAATTAAAGACAAAAAGTAAAACTTTTTCCATTGAATGCAAAAGGGTCGAAAGAGAGATTACGATGTGAAAGATGAGATACCCTATCGAATTAGACTTACAGTCATTGGATGATAAAAAGGTAAAGTAACTCCATCCATCCTCCACATATATCCCAATTAGTTTTCCTTTAGTTTTAAGTTTGATATTATCATATTACCATAATCCAAGAGCTGCGAATCAAATCAAGTTGCGCCAGCCATGTAACAGTAACGTCGTATTATAATCGTGCTATCGTATTATGATCGAACATATGATAACATTAGGAATTTGACATCTGAGATTATGTATTGTAGAACACATCATTTGTCTTATTAAAAACCATCTGGAAAATGCATCTTCACAAATCACAACAACACAAGGAGTCAACCTGAAAACTAGTAAGAACACCGCAATACAAAGAAGGAAACACGCACTATACGTTCCTTATTTTACTTCTCCACTACAGCACCCAACCACCACACTCCCCCTTCCGTCCCCCGTTCATTCTATAATGTTTAACTATAGGCCCCGCCCGTGCCGTAGCCCTTCCCAGTCCCATCGACCCTGGTGTTGTGCGCTGTGGTCCGCCCCGTGCCCGTGTTGGTCCCGATGGGGTGGGACCCCACCACACCCTCGACCACCTGTCCGGCCGGCTGCCCGGTGCCGTGGCCGGGCAGGGCCGACATCTGGTGCGCCCCGGTCGGCTGGCCGGTCACGCCCGTGGTGGAGTAGGTGTTGGTGGTGCCAGTGCCGGTGGTGGTGGTGGTGCCGGGGCCGGTGGTGGTGGTAGAGAGGTGGCCAGTGGCGGCGGTGGATTGCTTGGAGGCCGCGTTCTCCTCGCGGGCCATCTGCTTGTTGAGCTCAGCCTGCTCCACTCGCTCTTGCTTCTTCTCGGTGGCCATCTCCTTCTGGACCGTATCATGGGCCGTCATCTTCTCCATCTGCCACCATAATCCAAAGCCAAACCAATTCATTAGACACACCAAAAAAACATTCATTGGGAATATAATGAACATGAGAGGACTTAAAACAGATCATTCAATGCCTCGCCAGGACCTCGGAATCGAGTTAAAAAAATTTAGAAGAGAAAGATACAGGAAAATTTGGAGTGCAGGTACGTGGGCACCGTTAAAACAAGAAACGCATGTGTGAAGGCTTCCCTGATCACAGAGTCTTTGTAGGAGGGAGGAGCTTCGGTTCCTTTCTTTCGATGAGGTTACTTGATTGATTGATTCGAAAAAATTAAAGGTAAAAACATTCGAGATGTACACGCATAGTCAATCACTCAAAAGTCAAAACATTCTAACTAAAGGCGGACCTTCTCCTGGGCGACGGCCTTGGTCTTCTCCATGCCGGCCTTGGCGGAGGCGCCGATGTTGGCCACCGTCTCCTTGGCGGAAGCCGCCGCATTCTTCATGGGCTGCATTTTTCTCCTCACACTGTGTGGCAACAACAACAGAACCAACAAAAACACCCCCAAATCGCACTCAACTCGGATCACAACACTGACTCAACTCACTCGCTGCTGATGATGATGATGAAGAAGAAGATGATGAGAGGTGCTTGGAATGCTTAGGGGCCTTAAATAGAGCCGCGCGACGTCTTGTCCCCGTGACAGGTGGAACAGCGAAACTCCCTACGTGGAAGGCGACCGAGGGATGGGTCACTGCACCGACGACACGCGTCCCTGGACCAGCGGAAGATCTGGGGATCGATATCGCCGTGAGAAGTACTTACCGCGCAGCAGAGCAACCCCCATCGTGTCATTACTGTACGGAAGTTCTGGGGGTTCCTTATCCTCTTTGGTCTCGGGGACAGAGGAAACGGGAGCAACCGTAAAAGGCGGAGATGGTGATACGCTTGGGAGGTTACGTGGCGGCTGTGCGGCCTGTGTGGCGACACGACGCCGGCCCTTTCCTTAAGGGTTGGGTTTCCGGTTCGTGTGGGTTCAAGTTAGGTGGACCGAAGATGGAGTGCAGCGTGTGTCCATCTCCTGATGCAAAATTTGTCTGTTTCTTTGGATACGCAGTCTGTCTCGATTGTGCTTCGTCGGAATGGAAATGGATAGCACATAGTATACCCAAAGAAAGATGACCCAGATGCAAGATTTGCATTGATTTCGAAGCATTATCATCTCACATATACCCAGAAGATGATCAAGATGCAAGATCTCCTCTCTCTCTCTCTCATCGAGGATTAATTCAAGATATCTTATTGATTGATTAATCTAAACGTCTATGTTTGTGATTGTTTTTTAGAAAATAAATGAGGATGTCAGTTTCTAGTATCGGAAGGTAATCGTTAAGTTCTAAAATAAATGCTACGTAATTTATCAAGTAAACGCAAATATAAATGGTACAAACAAAAGCTAAATAAAATCTCGAGCATTAAAAATTATATAAAAGGCGAAAGCGATATATAAAATAATAAGCGGAATGATAAAACCAACCATATAAGTGGTATATACTGATATTGAAATGATAAGATAGTTACAGTGTAATTGAAAGTTACGGTAACCTCTAAACCAACCATGAAAGGGTTGGTAACCTTACATGTAATAAAGAAAAGTGGATCGAAGGGACTAAGAAAACTTACAAAGTAATTGGGATACAAAGGTAGAAGAGGATGGTTTCAGGACGGGAAGACAAACTATCAAAAGGAGACGAAGAGGGAAAGAACATCTTGAATGGGGAAGGCATGTCTCTTAAGTGAGAAGAGAAAGACTTTTATAAAGTGATGAACAGTAAAAATTCTACGTGATGAATAGTGATTTGTCGGCCTCTTTCGGCTATAGTGTTAGCGCCGCTTTTGTCATGTGATCTTCTTTTCAGTGATTTTATTCTCCATCTTCTTCACTATCATCTTAGCAGTCATCTGCATTGGTGTCTCTACTATAATGTCATTGGGTTGCACCGCTATTTGATTCTTCGACTTCAGAGATAATTTTGTTTCATCATAGTGATATACACTTGGTGATTGAACAGCTACCAATTGTGCTGCTGTAACAAATTTTTGTTGTAAAAATCTCCAAGGATTATGAGTTGGAATCCCATTCTAACTAAGGATTCTTGTGGCTCCGAAGGATCCAACTACAAGAGAATCAGGAATATAGAGTTTTCCCCCCTTTTCGCCTAACTCTTTGGTCTTAAAAATGCTGGTTTTAAGAATGAGTAATTGCCCTTCTCCGACCCTTATTGCTCAACCTCAGAGCAGACAGCTTATGCGTTCCACTTAGGGCCTATTTAGTAACGTTTATATTTCTCTGTTTTCTGTTCTTTTGTTCCTCGGAATAGAAAAAAAAATAGAAATCCGTTTAGTAACGTTAGTTAGTTTTTTTATTCCCTGAAATAGTAAAATGGTCTGAAAATAGATTTGAAATAGAAATAATAAGTAAAAAAAATATACTTTTCTGTTTCTAGAATAAAAAAAGAAACAATAGAGAAACAAGATCAGCTCTCCCTCTTTCACAAGATATTATTATACTAAACCCTAAAAGCCCAAATCCTAAATCCTAAAACCCTAAACCTTAACCGTCAAGCCAAAAACACCAAAACCCTAAATCTTAAACCCCAAATTCCTAAACTCCAAAACCTTAAACCTTAATACCCAAACCCTAAAACCCATAACATTAAAATGAAAACCCCGAAACCCTAATCCCTAAAACCCCAAACCCCAAAACTCAAATCCCTAAAACCCTAAACCCAAACCCAAACCCTAAACCTTATAAACCCCAAATCCTAAACCCAAAAACCCAAACCTTAAAATCTCAAACCCAAAACCCGAAAACTCCAAACCCGAAGCCCTAAAACCTAAACCCTAAAATCGTAATTCCAAACCCTAAATCCTAAAACATTAAACCGCAAAATCTCGAACCCTAAACCATAAACCCCAAACCCTAAACTGTAAACCCTATACCCTAAATCCCAAGCCCCAATACCCAAAACCTGAATCCCTAAAACCATAAACCCTTAACCACTAAACCCCAAACTCGAAACGCTAAACCTAAAACCCCAAACCCGAAACTCTAAAACCTAAACCCCAAACCCTAAACCATAAAATCCAAAATGTTTATGATTGTATTAAAGTCCTTCAATTCTATATCATAATATATTATTATTCTATTTCTAGTCCAATTTTATCTAAACATGAATTGTTAAGTCCCATAAACTGTAATTTTCTTGACCACCACCTAGTATTTGCTTTGTCTATAATGAGTAATTTTCTTTATGATTGTATTAAGGTCATTTAATTCTATATCATAATATATTCTTATTCTATTTCTATTCAAACGTGAATTGTTAAGTCTTCACCGATAATTTTATAATTAAGTGAAAAAAATGGGAGTAGAAATTTTTAGTGTCCTACCAAATACATTTATGTTCTTTTTCTACTTCGGGAATATAAATTTTGTATAGTTACTAAACGCGTTTTTTTGCTTAGAAACTCGTCTAGGGAATAGAAATAGAAAAAACTATTTCTGAATAGAAATTGTCTCTAGAAACAGAAATGATACTAAACATACCCGTATTGAACATGATTCTATGATCGGTCCGCAACCCCGGGATGCCGAAGGCGTCCTTGAGGTGATCTCGTAGTTCCTACGGATAATGCATTTGAAGGACCAATTAAGGTCTATTGTGATGATATGGTGTTTGGGTGGCTCGGTGATTTAGCCAGTTTATGATTAACTTTTCTAAGGTTTGTTCAAAGAAGTTAAAACTATCCCACCATTTGGTTTTATATTTTCTAACTGAGTTAGGGATATTGGGATCTTGAGCGAAGGACGGTTGTAATCAAATCCCCCAACTATTAACCAGGAAACCCTGAAGTTGATGAAGAAATGGGAAAGCGTGATTCATGTTGTGATGGTACAAAATGAGTAAGAAATATTTTTTATCCTCTTCCAACTGGTTGAGGTAGAATTCGAGCTATCAGGCCAAAGTGTTCCCACTAGAAATTGAACCGATTAGATAATTGGTGAGAGGAGAAGTCTATTTTAAAGTAAAATAGCCAAGTGTGTCAGTCATCGCTATTTTATCTAGGGTTAATTTCACGAAAAATCTCAAACTGGTACACTTATGACCAAATTATCCTAAACTAATTTTTTGACCAGCAAAAACCCCAAACCGATACACTAATAACAAACTTACCCTCCGTTAGTCTCCGTTAAATTTTACCGTCAAATTACTGAGTTGGATGACACGTGGCAGTTGACAGATGTACCGGTTTAGGGTTATACCATTTGTTTGTCACGGGTTTTTCAATTTATAATTTTTGTGATATTAATCTAATTTAACGGATGGTAAATTTATCACAAATGAACCAGTTTGGGGATTTTGATTATCAAAAAATTAGTTTGAGGTAAATTTGTCAGAGGTGTACCGATTTGGAGTTTTTTATGATATTAATTCTTTTATCAAAAGAAAGCATTCCACCAGCCTTGTTGGTAATCCCAATAAGTATAGGAGGGAATCATGGTAGTGGTTATGTGAATCTAGCTTCAAATTTGATGGGAGTATGAGATGATGATTTCCATTTTAAAGGATGGATATCTGAAGTATGGTGGCAGCTAAATGAGTGATATCATTTGGGTTATTTGTGCCTTAAAAATGTTTAAATTTCACAGAACCAGTTTCAGATAGGATTTATTAGTAATATGCTAGAGGTTTATGCCAAAAATGAGGTTTGTAATACCATTTTTCTAGGAAAATGTTTTTTACAAAAAAATTTGGGTTTTCATGATAAAAACCCATCTTCTATTGTGATTATATTTTGAAAAAACATTTTTTGCAAAAAATGTTCATCTTTCTGATTGAGAGGCTGCTGGGGCCTAATTACCACATTGCTGGAAATTCGCCTTAATTGCCGGTTAGGAGCAACAATTGGTATTGAATTGAAGCTCACCTCAATTGATGATGGTTTTTCTTTTTTGGGTTTTCTTAAGTAATGGGTAAGGAGGTCAAGAGTTTCCTTGGGTAATATAGTGGCTAATTGTGATAAGGCATGTATTTGGGTCAAGTTACTATGAGGTTCTTGAGCAGTTATTGGGAGTGATGGTGATGGTTTTTCTTTAGCTATGTCAACCCAAGTTTTATTTGGAGTCATTTGTGATTTGGTGGTAATTTTTTGTGATATGGAGGATTCGGCAATGGCTTTGCCTTTGTGTTTTTTGGAGGGTTTTGGTGGCATGGTATCTCTTGTAAAAATTCTGTTGTGAGAAAATCAGGTAAAGAATTTGTAAAACCATTTATAGATTTAATAGCGAAATCAAAAACTAATAATATGGCTTGCCATCCGGCAAAATTTTTTTTTGAGGCAATATTTAAAATATCTATTTGTAAAATTTCCTTTGCTGATTTACAATCAATTCGCAAGAGGAAAGTCTCTTTGGAATTTAGAAATTGATAAAACAATATCTAATATTTCTTTCCTGATTGTGGAGTAATTTTGTTGAGTTTGATTCCAATGTTCGCAGAGAAATTGAATGATTTGTTCTTTGTTATTTTTGACTTGTTTGAGTATTCCCCCATAACCTATTTCAGAAACATCTGTTTCTTTAACATGAGATTTAATTTGCCTCATAATGTTTGTATGAATTGATGTCCTTTGCGGAGGCTTCTTTTTAAACCTTTGATGTAAGGGTTTACAGAGTATATTGATGTTTGGGAAGAAATGTAAGATATAATAAAGGCTTCCTAAAATTTTTG